TGACACCTTACTCTAAAATTAACTCCAGATGGATTAAAGACTTAAACATAAAACCTAACACCATAAAAACCCTAGAAGAAAATCTAGGCAAAACCATTCAGGACATAGGTGTAGGCAAGGACTTTATGATTAAAACACCAAAAGCATTGATAACAAAAGCCAAAATAGACAAATGGGACCTAATCAAACTCCACAGCTTCTGCACAGCAAAAGAAACAGTCATTAGAGTGAATCGGCAACCATTAGAGTGAATGGGAAAAAATTTTTGCAGTTTACCTGTCTGACAAAGGCTGATATCCAGAATTTACAAAGAACTAAAACAGATTTACAAGAAAAAAACTAACAAGCCCATTCAAAAGCGGGCAAAGGATATGAACAGACACTTTACAAAAGAAGACATACATGAGGCCAACAAACATATGAAAAAATGCTCATCATCACTGGTCATCAGAGAAATGCAAATCAAAACAACATTGAGATACCATCTCACGCCAGTTAGAATGGCGATCATTAAAAAATCTGGAGACAACACATGCTGGAGAGGATGTGGAGAAATAAGAACACTTTTGCACTGTTGGTGGGAGTCTAAATTAGTTCAACCATTGTGGAAGACAGTGTGGCGGTTCCTCAAGCACCTAGAAATAGAAATTCCATTTGACCCAGCAATCCCATTACTGGGTATATATCCAAAGGATTACAAATCGTTCTACTATAAGGACACATGCACACAAATCTTCACTGCAGCACTGTTTACAATAGCAAAGACCTGGAACCAACCCAAATGCCCATCGACGATAGACTGGATAGGGAAAATATGGCACATATACACCATGGAATATTATGCAGCCATCAAAAATGATGAGTTTGGGTCCTTTGTAGGGACACGGATGAACCTGGAAACCATCATTTTCAGCAAACTGACAGAAGAGCAGAAGATCAAACACCACATGTTCTCACTCATAGGTGGGTGTTGAACAATGAGCACACATGGACACAGGGAGGGGAACACTACACACTAGGGTCAGTTGGGGGGAAATAGGGGAGGGACGGTTGGGGGTGGGGAGCTGGGAAGAGATAGCAAAGGGAGAAATGCCAGATGTAGGTGATGTGGAGGAAGGCAGCAAATCACACTGCCACCTATGCAACAATTTTGCAGGTTCTTCACATGTACACCAAAACCTAAAATGCAATAAAATAAATAAATGGGGGAAAGAAAAGAAAAATGAGAAGATAAAAATTGCCAGGATACTCAATGAAAAGGAAAATATAACTACAGAATATTATAGATATTAGAAGGGTAATTAAGGACTAGCATGACTTTTGTGAGAATAGATCTGATCGCTCAGATAAAATTGAAGAATTGTTTGAAATAAAGCGTCAAACCTATTTAAGAAGAAATAAACGTTGAATAGAAATGTATCTACCAAAGGAATTAAACTGATAGTTAAAATACTTTCTACAAAGTAAACTCTAGGTCCTGATGGCTTCACTGAGAATTATAAGAAACATCTAAAGGAGGAATAATGCCAAATATATACAAAAATTTCTAGAAAGCTGAAAATGAGGGAACATTCTTCAACTCATTATAATATGCCTACTACCCTGATACCAAAACCAGAAAAAGACATTATGGAAAAGAAAACTACTGAACAATATATCTTACAGAGAGGCAAATATTCTGAACAAAATTTTAGTAAATCAAATATATATATATATATATATATATATATA